TCCCCCCCACCCCTGCCCCTGCCGTCTGTCTCTGCTGCTCCCCTGCTTGCACACACACACACACACTCTCTCTCAAAATAAATAAATTAAACATTTTTAAAAATTCAAAAAATAAAAATATTGCACATTTAACATCGGTGAGAGAGGAAAGGGCAGTATTTGCCTTCTAGCAGTTGTAGTGCCGACTCCAGTGTATGTACAGGGTGAGTTCTGAGGGACGAAGCAAGACTTTATTAAACCCATGCAAATAAACATGAATTTTGGCACAAGTGCAGCTGAAATTGATAGGGAGGACCTTACCTTTCTTTTCCGCTAGCATCACTTCACCTTTATGACAGCTGTCCCAAATGGCTGCTGACCTTGCTGAAGTCAGTGTGGGGCCTGCACGGTGGGGATGGAGGGGAGCACACGATGAGTCCTCTGTCCTTTGGCAGCACTGGCCCCATCCCCTGCTGGGGCAGACACGAGGCTGATGGAGCCCCAATGCTTCCTGTTCCTTCCCGAAATAAGTGCCGCTAGCCCGTGGGGACAAGCCTTTCTGCCTTTACCTTTTCAGAGAGCATTTTCTGGAACTCTGTTGTGAGCCCCTCTCTTCCTGGGCTTAGATCATAAGAGACAGAGTAACACACTCTCTGTTTGTAATTCTTTAAGCACCAAAAAAGTACCAGGGACCTAATTCATAGCGTACATGAAACCCTGCAGGCATTTGGAAGCTTGACATCAACTCTCTGGATAAAGCTTAACCGTCAGCTGCCTAGCTGAGCACTCAGCAGGTGTATCAGGTTCTCGGGCTTCCATTATAGGGTTAATAGAACAGCAGCGTGGTACGATGAACTAAAACAAAATTAGATAAGATCCTATTAATTTAAATAATTAGTTTGGGGGCAATATGGTTTTCATAGAAGTTGCTTAGAAGCAGCCTTAATTTGAGGACAAGTTACTTGTTTTCTGTGGCTACCTTTTTAGTAGAATTTGGTTAGTGCCAACTTCGGTTCTGACTTCACCCCACTAACGGTCAACTTAAGACAGAATTCCTAGGATCAAAGAGCATTTGGGACACTAACTGTCTTCCCCTCTGGCCTCCAGTCCGACCACCTGCATAGAAATCTGGCAAAAGCTTAGGAAAGTATTTCGAGATTTGTTAATTGTTCCAGATTCATTGCTCATCACACCCTTCAACCAATGTTTAATGAGCTCTCCCTCTGTGTGTGAAGGGTCACAGAGAGGAGCACCTTCCTCCCTGGGAGGAGCGAGTGGTCTGGTCAAGGAGAAAGGTTGGAGTGGGAAAGTCACAGTCCGAGGAGGCTGTGCGGTGCCCTGGGAGTGGCTCAGACTTTAGAGCCCAACAGGCACGGGATGGCTGTGGCTGTGCCCTCACCTGTGCTTGCAGGTGGGCCGCCACCAGCCTCACGGCTGCGCATGGGGGTGAACGTGATGTCATGCACGGCCCCTGTCCCTCCCCGCACTGTGAGGGTGGGTGACACCCAGCGCGGTGCCCACTAGGTCAGGGCGAGCAGTGGTCGCTGCTTGTCATGGGCTGGGCCCACCCCCTTCATCCGGCCCCTTGGGGGGGGGGGGGCTCCAGGAAAGGCGGGGGCTGCCGAGGGGCTCGCCTGCCTCGTGGAGCAGCGGCACTGACGGCTGGTTTCTGGGTTGCCTTGTAGGAAGCCCACGCCGTCCACCTTGAAGGCGGGGGAGCTGCGCACACACGTCAGCCGTTGCCAAGTCTGTATGAGAAGAACATAATGAAACCCGGCCCTCAGCTAACGTACAACATGGTGCTACTCCCTCCTCTCCCCCTTCTCTTGTTAACAGCAACGAACCCTAGAAATATATCCTGTGTACCTCACTGTCCAGTATGAAAGCCGTAAAGTGCCTTATAGGAATTTGCCTAACTAGCACACCCCGCTTCGGTGGCCTCTACTCGCTGAAGGAGAAGCAAAGAGCATGATAAGCTGTCATAGTGACGCACCAAATGGCACTTTTGATGAAATAAAAGTGTAAGTCTGTTCTTGAAGCCAATGCACTGATGCGTGAAGTACGAACTCCATCAGAAAACCAAAGGGTGCTAGCAGGTGCGCGGGGCCTTCCATTGTGTCTGAACGCCTGTGTCCACTTTTGTGTTGGGACAGGTGCATTCCCTCCCCCGGATGGGATGTTTGTTTACGTCACCGTCAAGCTGTTTCCAAGCGCAGGTCCCTGGGCCTGTACGCGAGTGGGTCCCGCGAGAACAGTGTTCCGGGCCTGCTGACGGAATGGCTCAGCCGCCGAATCTTCCAACCCCCAGACGTAAATGTAGGTCTTTCTGCTCTGTGTGGTACTATGCAGCTGCTTGTGCAGAAATCACAAATTTCCTGTGGAATAAAGATGGTCCAAAAGTAGGCGGAAATTAAATATATATATTATTTTAGTAATTTATATAGATGTCAGCGATTAGGTCAAAGGTTTGTTTCATTTCCACTGTTAAAATAAAGCTTACGTAGTTTCTTCCTTGAAAAGACTGTGTTGTCCTTTCACATAGATTTTTAAACACCCGGGTGTTGAATGTGACACGTCCCGTTTTCGTTGTTCACCTCCAAACCAAAACGCGTGTATCGCCAAAGCCAAACCCAGGTCCACGAGCGCGGCGTCTGCTCCAGTGAAACATGTACTCTGAGCTTATTGTTTGTATTCTGTATTAAATGTCTTCAGGGTTTTAAACACTAATCACAACCGAATGACCTGACTTCAGAACCAGCAAAACCGTAAAAGGCCTTCGTTTACTTCGTATTCGTCGTTCTGCGGCCTGGTGTGCAAAACAGCTCAGTTGAACCCTAGTATCAGTATTCCCCCCGTGTAAGCGCCTCCGGGTGGCTTGCTCGCTCCGGCGAGCTGCGTGCAGACGTCAGCAGGGAGCGGACGGATCACAGGAGAGCAGGATTGACCACTGGCAATGACCTTGCACTGTCAATGCAAGGCAATGACCTTGCACCAAAAGTCTCCAACACGGTTTTAAGACTACTAAGGCCTTTTATGTAATTTCTTTACATGTGTATTTCTTACAAATTCAAATTTGTAATAAAACTATTTGTATAAAAATTAAGCTTTTATTAATTTGTTGCTAGTATTGCCACAGAAACATTAAAAGTTACTGCACCGGCCACTAATAAATTTGTAAGCGTTGCATGCCTTAGATCATTTTTATTTTGCAGTTATTCCAAATGAGAGCCAGACTGGGTGTGATTTACAGAAATTGCTACAAAGAAAAAACCGATTGATCTTCTTCACCTTTCCTCCCTCCCTCCCTTCTGTCCATCCATCCATCCACCCACCCATCCATGCACTCATTGTATGTGTACCAAGGATTTGCCACTCTTCAAATCCCAGTTAGATACAAGATAATCAGATAAACAGATATGAACAACATACATTTCCAGCCACTAAAAGTAAGATTCGGTAGGGATTAGCACCGAGATTGTGGTTATGCAACGATAGGTGCATAAGTCTTACTTAAAGTTGGAAAGAAGATGCCAGATTCTTTAAACCTGGTTAAAACATGATCCCTGAAAATGAGTCTGACCCTGTGTGTCCAAGAAAAAGATCTAGGGGCTCCCGGGTGGCTCAGTCAGTTGAGCATCGGACTCTTGATTATGGCTCAGGTCGTGATCTCACAGTTCATGGGTTTGAGCCCCACATGGGGCTCTGTGCTGACAGCGTAGAGCCTACTTGGGATTCTCTCTCTCTCTCTCTCTCTCTCTCTCTCTCTCTCTCTCTCTCTCAATAAGTATATAAACTTAAAAAAAAAACGAAAGGAAAAGCTCTAAATATTGCAACGTTCTGGGCTGTCGTACCTGCCATTGCTGTAGTGAGGATGATATGGGACAGTGTGAATGTGACTTCCCATGCTTGATCAGGAAACATCATTCAAGGTGTAGGTTCAGTCACCTCCCACCTATCTGTGATAAAACTGGTGAGAAAGAAGGGTTCATTTGCTTCCCTTTGATGCATGGGATTGTGCAGAACACTGAAACCATCAGGCTGGGTTCTTACTGAAGAACAGAGATGTGACGGCCATTGGGAGAGTTTGTTTCTGCGTCTAAAACTGATTGATTATAAATCACTAGTTACTAGATACAGGTGTGTATAGATGGGAAAGTGCAAAGAAAATAATGACACCTTGGATCCCAACATTCAGATCCTGTGCATTTTTATTTTTTAAATGTTTATTAATTTTGAGAGAGAGAGAGAGAGAGAATCCTGAGTCAGGGCTCGACCACACAAACCGGGAGATCATGACCTGAGCTGAAATCAAGAGTCAGACACTAAGCCAGCTGAGCCACCCAGGTGCCCCAGATCCTGTCCATTATTCTGAGAGCAGCTTTTATGTTTTATTTTTAAAATTCTCCTACAGTACAATTGATTTATGTTGATGGACAGGTCTACAGATTGTAACATATGGGGAGGTCCATGTAAGCATAATCCAAATCAGTCCACAGAAGAGTTCGAGCCACTGAAATCCCCCCTACCCTAACCCTGGCATCCAACCACCGAGCACCATCACTGTGATACACCTCTTCATGAACAGAATAATAGAATGTGTAACCTTGGAGACTGTCCTCCACCCACCGTGATGTATTTGACACTCCTCCCAAATTATCGTGTGCATTGATGGCTTATTCCCTTTCATGGCTCAGTGGGATTACCTAAATACACCGCATCGTCCACCTGTCGAAGGACATGTGGGTTATTTCCAGTTTTTGGTGATAATGGATAGAGAATAAACATTCATGTTCAGGTTTTTGTGAACACAGGTTTTTCTTTTTTTTTTTAATTTTTTTTTTTTTAGTGTTTATTTTTGAGAGAGAGAGACAGAGTGTGAGCAGGGGAGGGGCAGAGAGAGAGGGAGACACAGAATCCGAACCAGGCTCCAGGCTCCAAGCTGTCAGCACAGAGCTCAGCGCGTGGCTGGAACCCACGAACCGCGTGATCATGACCTGAGCCGAAGTCGGAAACTTAGTTGACTGAGCCACCCAGGTGCCTCGGGTTTTTATTTCTTTAGGGTAAGTACCCAGGACTAAGATTGCCGGGTCATATGATAATTGTATGTTTGACAGTGTGAAAAACTGCCAGACTGTTTTCCAGAGTGGCTGTACCATTCTGCATTACTTCCAGCAACGTGTGAGAGCCCCACATTCTCCCCAACGTTTGGAATTGTCAGTGTGTTTTTGTTAGCCATTCTAATAGGTAGTGGTGTGTGGTCAGGCTTTTAATTTGCATTTCCTGGATGGCTAATGACATCAACCGTCTTCATGGCATTTGTGTGTGTGTGTGTGTGTGTGTGTGTCCATCAACACCTCCTCTTCTTTGAAGTATCTATTAAATTTTGCCCACTTGAAAAATGTCCCTTTTCATACTGTTGAGTTTTAAAAATTCTTTGGATGCTCTGCTTGTCAGCCATTTGCTAGATAGGTGATTTGCAAATTCATCCTCCTAGCAGTATCTTTCACAGAGCTAAGGTTTTTCATTTTGATGGTGTCCAATTTATCCGTATCTTTTCCATGGGATGTGCTTTTGGTATTGTGTTTAAGAACTTTTTGATTACTCCTAGGTTACTAAGATTTTCTCCTGGTTTATTCTGCAAGCTTTATGATTTCACTGACTACATTGCGATCTGTGACCCACTTGTAATTTTTTTTAATTGATGACATTCACATAACTTAAAATTCACCACCAGAAAGCCAACCCTTCAGTGGCATTTAGGACAGCCGCAATGTGAATTCACTACGCCTAGTGTTAACTCGAGGTATTTTTCATCACCCCGAATCCAGAGCCAGTCAACAGTGGCTCCCAACCCCTGGAAACCACCAGTCGGCTGCAAGTCTGGATTTTCTGACTCTGGATTTCATGCAGTGGGATAATCCAGTGTGTGGCTGCTGTGTCTGATTTCCCTCACTGAGCATAATGGTTTGGATGTTCACCCACCCTGTGGCACGTGTCAGTTCTTCGCTGGTTTTGACGGCTGAAGAATGTCCATTGGATGGATATACCAGTTTGGTTAGCCATTCATCCACTGATGGGTGTGTGGGCTGTTGGGACCTTCTGGCTATTATGAACATGACGGCTCCATATTGACATCCCTGCTCTCAATTCTTTGCAGTAGGTAACAAGGAGTGGCCTTGATGAGTCCTGTGGTTACTGGAGTCTAACTTTTTGTGGGACCATCATATTCTTTTGCTTTGAAGCTGAACTGTTTTCCACCCCCGCCAACAATGTGCCACGGTTCCCATTTCTCACATCATCTCCAACACGTGCCATTTTCTGTTGACTGTAGCCCTTCCACTGGGTGTGAGGTGGTATCTCCTTGTGGTTTTGACTTGCACTTCCCTAATTTCTGATGATGTCGAGCATCTTTTCATGTGCTTGTTGGCCATCTATGTATGTTCTTTGAAGAAAGAGCTTTAAGTCCTTTGCCCATTAAAAAAAAAGGTTTTTTTTTTGGTAAATGTTCTTTATTTTGTATGCAGATTCTTACCAGATACACGATTTGCAAATATATTCTTCCATCCTTTTGGCTGCCTTTTTACTTTCTTGATAACGTTCTTTGATGCACAAAATTTTACAATCATGATTAGTTACAATTTATCTATTTCTCTTTGGCTGCTTGGTCTCATGTCATATCAAAGAACGCATTTCCAAACCCGAGGCCGTGAACATTTACCCCTATGTTCTCCTGTAAGTGTTTTATGATTTTAGCTCTTACATTAGGT